AAAATAAACAAATAAACAAACTTCCTCTTTTATATATATAGATATTCAACCATCTTAGAGGTAATATAGAGATTTTTCTTTGTTTCACTTTAGTTTAATGCAGGTGGCGATTACATTCAAAAATTATAATTTGATATAATTTCACTGTATCCACGCTAATTACCAACTTTATAATTTTATATAGTTTCATCGTATCCATCTTATACGTCCACTGTATAGTTGTTTTGTACATAATATCACCGTATACAATCTAAGCATCCAATACCTTCTACAGAGAAAGTTTATGTTTCAACCCAAATACGACAATTATTATACTGAACAGCGTTGTATAAACAGCGTTGTCCCTGGGCCACAGCCGGACTCGCGATTAACATATTCAGCCCATGCACACATTATTAATCACATTTGATTTTTCATATTCATGCTTAAAATTTTTCATTCTTTTAATAAGACAGTCTCATTCCAGCAAGTTGCATAAGTAAGAAGTTATGAGCTTCCAATACTTTCCTTCCTCTACAATCCGGCACTGGCCCTACTTGGCATGGATGAAACAAGAACCATCTAGAAAAAAGAATCGTCAAATACAAAAGATGCACTTAAAAAAAAAAGGTTACTGTTGTTTAGCCCATTTCTTGAACATATCACGATTTCACTTGTGATAAGAAAAGGGTTTTTGTTATTGAGTCTAATTTTACTAAATGTACTATTTAACAAGCTGATTCATTAAATGAAATAATTGACATTGCTTAATTATGACCAAACTGAACCCTTTCAATCTGTGTATAAAATGATGTTGTCATAGTAATAACTAGGTTATATGATACATGCGTTATTAACAGGCTAGATGACCCTTGGAAATGAAGACTTGCTTTTAGGTTAGCAATTTCATATTTCTCTTTTAGCTGAAGAATACATAGGTTTTGAAATGTTTTAAATTTTCTTGATGACTCAACAGTAAGCTTGCGAATCTAAAACGCTAAAATTCAGTGTTCAATCCCTGCAATGAGTAAGATGCATATAGCTCATTGGCCATTTTTACGCTTAAATACAAATAAATAAACCGAGCTTATGGGCCACTCTTTACGTATTTTGGCCGAGCGTGGCCCAGTGATTTAGCGTGCCGCATTATGGGTCTACGGGTCGAACACTCACGTCCCGTTGTTGCAAATATATATATATATATATCGCTCAGCTCTTTGACGGCTAAATCCCATTATTTGGCTAAACCAGTCATCCAAAAATTGGCGGTGGGTGCTGTAAAGAGCCAGTCTCTGCGTAAATAAATTATTCACAATGACAAAAACTTTACAGGTAATTTTTGAGATTTTTAAAGTTTTACCACAATAAAATAAAAAGGATGCACAAGTCCAAAATCTGTGGGAGTTGTTGCAAGGTATCTTGTGCTTTAGTCTGTGGAAGTTGTTGCAAGGTTTCTTGTGCTTTAATCTATGGCAGTTGTTGCAAGGTATCTTGTGCTTTAATTTGTGGGAATTGTTGCAAGATATCTTGTGCTTTAGTCTGTGGGAGTTGTTGCAAGGTTTCTTGTGCTTTAATCTGTGGGAATTGTTGCAAGGTATCTTGTGCTTTAGTCTGTGGGAGTTGTTGCAAGGTATCTTGTGCTTTAATCTGTGGGAGTTGTTGCAAGGTATCTTGTGCTTTCGTTTGTGGGAGTTGTTGCAAGGTATCTTGTGCTTTAGTCTGTGGGAGTTGTTGCAAGGTATCTTGTGCCTTAATCTGTGGGAGTTGTTGCAAGGTATCTTGTGCTTTAATCTGTGGGAGTTGCTGCAAGGTATCTTGGGCTTTAGTCTGTGGGAGTTGTTGCAAGGTATCTTGTGCTTTAGTCTGTGGGAGTTGTTGCAAGGTTTCTTGTGCTTTAATCTGTGGGAGTTGTTGCAAGGTATCTTGTGCTTTAGTCTGTGGGAGTTATTGCAAGGTATATTACCTAAACAAATCAGGTGAATATTTTGCACTGGAAACCAAATTCAATAGGAGAGTCTCCATTACTCTCTACACATTCAGAGTCCTAGACTCGCCACTACTCTCTACATTTCAGATTCCTGGAATCGCCACTACTCTCTACACTTTCAGATTTCTGGAATCGCCATTACTCTCTACACCTTCAGATTCCTGGAATCGCCATTACTCTCTACACTTTCAGATTCCTGGAATTGCCACTACTCTCTACACTTTCAGGTTCCTGGAATTGTCCACTACTCTCTACACTTTCAGATTCCTGGAATTGCCACTACTCTCTACACTTTCAGGTTCCTGGAATTGCCACTACTCTCTACACTGGGCGTCAAATCAAACATAGATAAAATACCTCTTGATCCATGCACTCTATCACTGTTGATAACTACACATCCAAAATCACACTGGCCATCAACTCAACCATTAATACCCCAATTCACCAACTCAGTCATTAACGTCCCAATTCATCAACTCAGCCTTTAATATACCAGTTAATCAACTCAGCCATTAATGTCCCAATTCCTACCAAGAAAGTACCTCAAAACTTTAATCACTGGAAATTAACTCCTGATATCCTCAAACACATCTCTGAAAAACGGCGATAATATCGTTTATTCATATTATCTCGAGAAACAAGCTTGAAACTTCTTATAAATAAAGAAAACAATACAATCAAGAATTTTATCATAGAAAAAATCAACTAGGAAAATTTCTGTACCTCTATATACAAGTCTACCCCCGAACCATAGGACTTTTTGGAAAATAATTTAAATCACTATGCAATCCCACACAACACCAATCCACTCACAATATACAAAAGGAGACACAATTCCCTAAGAAAAATCAGGAGGGGGATTAAAATGATGTGAGTTTGATACAATCATGACCATATACAAAGCCTACATTAGACCAGTTCTTAGATTTAGAAACATGATCACCTGCAATATGTCAAATAACCTAATCATAAATGCATCAGAATAAAGTCATTAGACTGATTATCCATAGATTACCTGTCTACATCCCTTGTCATATTTTAACATATAACTTCCTACAGTCAAAAAGTGAATCAGTAATCCAGCTTCCGCCTTCCATACCAAAGCTGCCAACGGTACTCCACAATCAATCCTGTTCCCATCATTTGCAGTAATTCCAAAATCTTGACAAGAACACAAATCATCATTTAAATCACATTCAAACAATCAATTAACAAACACATATCTATATGAGCTAGTCAACAATTTCCCCATACTTAGATTCTCTCCAGCTTAGATTCACCAATACGGGGCACCGTTCGGATAGATGATTCGGCGCTCGAACAATAAAAGTGGATTCTTTCGAAGTACTTCCCCCAAACACGCCTAAAATTATGGGATTGTATGTATTGATCCCGGCCACCCTGTCCAACGAGGGACGTTTGGATTCAGAAGATGATGATCAGAAACAAGTGCTTTTCCGGCATTCTCGCATTTTGAAGAGCTTGAGATGACTCAGCACAGTCGTGGATAGTATTACCATCTCCTTCAAGAAGTATCGACATATACAAAACCTTGGGCGGGATGAAGAGAAACATCTATTTCTGAACATTTCCTGTTATTTCAAAGTCTAAATCCTTTATTTTCAACCGAACAAATACCACGGGAAAAAAGAAAAGGTTATTTGATTGAAAGATCCAGTCAAAGCTGTTCTAGTGGCGAAAGCGCGGGCTAGTTGTTTTCTCTTTGGTCAGTAGTTTAAATTAGGGACGTTCCTAACTAGGGGTTCCTAACTTCTGACCTAACCGTTTATCTCACGTTCACATAAGCTGCTATTCAACGTAAAAATTCCAGTTACATAGAAAGTAAAACAGAAAGATAAATGTCTTCGTTATTAAGTACTCTACACAATGGGCTATCTGTGCTCTGCCCTCCGTGATTATCGAAACCCGACTTTTAGCGTTATAAAATCTCATTCTTATCGTTAAGCCACGGGGGGAGGGGGGAGAAATGAATAAATGCATCTTCTTCTTTTTTATTTTTTTAACAATTAAACTAGACCGAGTTTTGAAACCGCCCAAATGGAAAACATTCAATAAATGTCTCTTAAGATGTTATTTTGTTTGTGAAAATCACGCATCTAGGCTTCCAAAGTCGTAACAATGACTTCTGATATGGTTAATAATAATGAAATTATGCTTTTATTCAAAGCGTATGATATTTATTGGTATAGCAGTCTCTCAACCCACGTTGTAGCGAGGATTATTGTGAATTTGTTTGTTTGAAGATAAGCACAAAGCTATACAATGGGCTATGTGTGCTCTGCCCACCACGTGTATCGAAACCCGGTTTCTAGCGTTGTAAGTCCGCAGACATACCGCTGTGCCACTGGGGGGCAATTATTATGAAAACTAAATCCTTATACAAACGAGAAGGACAAAGCTCAGGAAGGAAACAGTTAAAGAGAAATAAATAAATATATATTGTTTTACTCCAAGTAACTCAACATGCTATAATATATATATATATTTCATCTACTTAGCATTTTCAAACGTCTTTATTGACAAGCCATTCAACAGGACCATTCATAGCTGTATTTGTCTTAGATATTAAAAAAAAAAAACAACAACCGGAGATTGTGTCCTAATTACCATTAACCCAAACATGCCACTATATTGACCTTATTATTAAAGCTTTTATTGTACAAGATACATCTTTTAAATAGTCATTAAAAAAGAAGAAAAATATTGTTCATTGTTCCAAACCAATGAATCTTAAACTCATGATAGTATACGTTGTGACATGTAGAACATCAACTGTTTTGGAGATGATTGTACACATAAATATCTACAACTGTATTTTGGCACATTCAAACAAAAATATACATACATATAAAAACAGCATGGTTACACTTGGATATCTTTGTACTTATCATTCGAGCAAAACGTCTCATTTAGTATTTGTTACGTATGAATTAATGCATATTTGAAAATTGAATTTTCTTTAAAATGATAGATAATTCTGTGACTTGATAACCAATGACGTCTTTAGTTATTTCGTATGCAATTACAATTTATTAACAGCACAAATGGTTCTCATACAGTAATGTAAAGACGTAATTAATTCGTGGATAATGTAAAACAGGGAAACAAGTTAGAGAAGTCAAACTATTTGCCAATAAGCGGTGTAATTTGGAACACAACAACAGCTACCGCATGCTGAAGCAGTTCTTTGGCGCCGAGTTTCTTAAGTTGCGTCTTAAAAACAATTATGTAACAAACATGCGAGCAACAATCTTTCACTTTCGCCATCTATCGGGACATTATATACATATTTATAGAAAATCAAAAGTAATCATCCATGTATTTTCACCTAAACACTTTCACTTGTAATCTACAAATATTTATTATCTTTTCACACATTCAATTATTACAATGATTTTGAGTGATGACGAATATTTCTTCTCTTTTTTTTTTTGATTTAATATAATTTATTACATTTGTAACAATTAAAGCTTAACTAACAGGACACAAAATTGTTTTCCACTATAAACAATGCAGAAGTTATTTACGTAATTTTTCTCAATTTTTACATCCGTTCTTTCGGTGTAAGACATCACAGTTTAAATTTTGGTAACATGCTTACCTAGAATAATAAGGCTACCCGCTAAAAACAAATAAAAATAGCATGTAAACAACATATTTTTACACTGTTTTAAACGCTAATCTGACTCTAAAATATATTATACTTATAACTTGAACGACTTCCTCAATTCGTTAATAGGAATTTTCGAAAGTTCTTTGAAACCAATAATAGATTGTATATAACAATACAACCCCAGCAATACTCATAACAGTAAGTCTTTACTGACTACCTCTTCAAATATGTTTTGTTTTACATCAGATTTGAAAAACCTCAAATCCGGTCAAGTAATACTGCATCAACGTTAAACCCGATCAATGTTTCCGTACAATAAATAGCATTCGGTCATGCTGTTCACTGAAGTTGAGAGTCATTTAGCATAGTCTGAAGAAACTTCCCAAACAATCGATCAAGAAAATAATTTTCCAAGTCTAAATATACATGTATGTTACCGATCGTGGCGATTTCTCACCAGTGAAAATGGGTAGATATTTGTTTTTTTTCGTAAACGAAGCCAGAATAATGTTAACCCCTACGAAATTTCATAGCTTACACATTTAATTACATTCTAAAGGTAATATAAAGTCATTCATTTCATCTCTTAGAGCATTATGATATTTCTGCAGAGGAATCTAAATTTGTCTGTTTTGAATAAAAATCTAGATTCAATAGAGTTTTGTTTTTTCCACAATTGAAAGTTTTGTTGCTATTGTTTCATTGAGAAATATATGAAATACATCGACATTTTTTCACGCGCATCACTTGTTTGATGCGAATAGGTGGCGTTAGTGAAGGACACCTCAAAACTACAGTAATCCAGTGCACTTTGCGAGGCTTGCAGAAGGGGCACGAGCGGAATGCACCCGAATTATCGTCTGTTGGATCACTTCCCGGTTTAGGGATGAAAAATGAATTACACTGTCCGTAACAAAAATTGTTCGATATTTCAGCGGGGATACAACCATCTTCCCGAATCTGCTGCGTCATGGGTTTTGTTTGGCACCAGTCTTTTTGTAAGTGGCTGGTTGTTGTGACTACCATTGGTGGCGAATCTGATTTTAGGCCAAAAAGCGCTCCAACTGACGACAATCTACGACGACTGGGAGATTTGTGAGAGCGATTTTTATTTCTCCTTCTGTTTTTTTTACTGTGTTGTCGGCGATGTCTTCGTCGCCTTTTATTACTCTTGTGACAACGTTTCTTAATTGTATGACGAGAGTCTGATGGTGTAATATGCCAGACCTCTGTCTCTATTACTTTCATAAAGTTTTTTAGGAGCGCGACCACATCGATGCGTAGTCTTTCGTCCTGTATGGTCATCGACTGGAAATCAACTGACCCATTGGACGAAGCATCTGTACCATTTGCTGTCTTAATCGCTCTCATTAACAATGACACGACAGAACTATTAATCATCTGGGGTGGTTGAGTGATGCTGTCCACCTCGAATCTTCGCGCCATGATGATATCTTTGGATTTTTTTCCTGTCACGCATCCTAGATATAAGGTTGCTAAGGTTATCCAGACATAAATAAATTGAAGTTCGTTCGCTTCTGAAAAAAGTTTCATCTTCGTGGTTCAAAATATCTATAAAATACAAACATTGAATTAGAAACAAAAAATATTATTAAAAAGATTTATTCATTCAACACTTGACTTGGTTAGAATGTTTACAAGTATAACCGTTTTAACATATTTTATAACCAGTTTCATTATTATAAGTAGAGAAACGATGGCAGGACAACTTTATATTTTATTAGTGCGAGAGATACGAAATAGGTTGAATATAATTAACCGGTCATACAAGAGCTAACTGAACATAGCCGACCCGGATTTTGAACTGATAAGACTAGATAGAAAGTAGCAAGATAACAGCACCTGCCGCCAACTCTTGGACTACTCTTGTCTAACCGAATAATGGGATTTGACCATTACTTTTGTAACGCACCCATGGCCTCAAAATACCGATCGTCTTTGTGCGACAACAGGAAGCGAAATAAAAATCTTCGGATTCACAGGCTGGCCACATCAACCATTAAAGCACGCCTGACCCAGTAGTTTTAAGTTTCCATAAATAAACATTTGTATATGTATAGTAACTATGTAAAGAGTTGACAAAGCTAATAAAATCTCTTAGATGGAAAAACATATCACTGAGTAAGAAAAATAGATTGATGTATATCATCCTTAAAAAATCCACGTTGATTTCAAAGTCCATGTTATCATATTAATGTTAGAATCAACGTAAAATTCATAATGATGTTATACTAGCAACAGTATTCGACGTTAAATGTATGACATTCATCTTACTTACCCACTCTCAAAATATGGGATCTGTCGCGTTAACTTGGTTTAAGGCTGGTATTCCCCCCATTGAAACATCGACTCAGTACGAAAATTTTCAGAAAATGGACACTGTTCTAAATCTATGACAAAATTCTAGTCGTTTCTGGTCGCTAGCCTAGCAATTCTTCCGCTTCCACGAGTCGTACATCTTGTTTTTAAATCACTACAACACACACACATCTTGATGCGCAGAACAATGTTGACTGGCGTCACGACGACCAGCTGAACGTACACTGAAAGTAATCGAGCCATCGGACTCATAGTCATCGAAGTATGGTCGGTGTTTCTTGAGCTGTGTACCTGGTCTTACAGTACCCTACAATTTTCTTGTAACTTAGCACCGGCGCCAAAGAATCGCGAACGGGACGCCAGGAGGGGGGAACCCGGCACGCGTCGTCTGCGCGCGGTCTTTCATTCATCTCTAGAGAATATACATTCAGAGCCATTGGCGCGAGTCCAGTTGGCAAGGCTAAAACACGATTCTGTAAACTGCATGTATTACCTATAGTCTGTTTCATGTCTAACGTGACTTACTTTTATTTTTACTTCAGTGCTTCCAGTTAATCCCGATACCGCATAACTATAGTAAGTTACACGGCTTGTACCGCATTAAAAAGTATATTGTATCAAGTTTATAGCAATCTTCAATAAGTATTTTTTATATATATATATATCTTATTTCTTTATTTTTGTGCGAAAAGTGGCTTAAGTTTTCAACTTGTTAACAAAACATCTAAACAGATTGAAGTGGAACACACTGTGTTATCACACTTATAAATAATTCTTAAAGCTAGAGTGATAACTGTATAAATCGTTTTGATACAGCCAGAAAACAACACGAACAACTTCGTTTGATAAAACGAATGCCCCCAGTGGCACAGCGGTATGTCTGCGGACTTACAACGCTAGAATCCGGGTTTCGATACCCGTGGTGGGCAGAGCACAGATAGCCCATTGTGTAGCTTTATGCTTAATTTCAAATAAACAAAATAAAACGAAACAGTACTGCCGCCTACCGAGGGTGCAAGGAATTTGACTTGGCTAAAAGAAGGCTTTAGTACAGAACCCGAATCGTTTCTGTGCTATAAGATCCAAATCCCTCAGGCTGGAGCAGTCTAAGAAAACCTCATCAGTCTCACACATTTCTCTTCGTACATCTTGTTTTTTGCTGTGTAGAGTTTGCCTCAAATGCTGGACAATGTACGTATTTAAAACTAATAAATCATACTGCAGTGTTGAAGCTTTTACTGCTAATGACTTGTGTTCAAAGCTGAACTACAGTAAATAGATCGGAACTAGAAAAGGCTTATCAACCGAGCTACTTCTGTATCACAAAATCTAGTAGTATATGATGTCACAAATCAATATACGAAAATTAAAACCTATAATAATGAGAATACATAGATTCATTACTTAACGATATTTTTACCGGTAATCCTAATAATATCTTACAGCGTTCGGCTAGTTTGAGAGATCTGGATTGATTTGAATTCATAAAATACAAAAAAATTCTTATTGAGTATAAAAATTGATAATATTTAAAATTATTTTCAGCATTATTACCGATTGTACTAATGAAATTACATGTAAACAATAGTGTATGCTATCACTAATAGCAACCCTTCTCAACGGTCAAATACAAAACTATAACGACTGCAATATTTAAATATTTGAACACATACGAGAAAACGCCATTTACTATGCACTAAATTTAGTGGTGTTATCAGTTCCTAATCAACTTTCAGTCATCTGTTTCAGCAACTATTTGGCCATTAGCCCGTGCTGGATCAAAACCCTATGTACGGCCATGAATGTGATTTGAGACTAAAGAGGTATAAGCTAAATGAATTAATTTATAATACTGTTATAATTAATTTATAATAATGTTATAATGAATATTAGTTATGGGTTCTGAACGAATCAGAATAAGAAGAAATAAAAGAATATGGTGAACTCTGTTTATAGATTAATTTTAAAATAGGAAGTACACATGCGTGTATTAAAACGTCGCATTATTACAATACATTTCATTATGAAAAACAGAAAAAAACACAGAGTGTTTGTAGAGATTCGCTTTTCTAACGTTTTTTTATTTATTTTTATTACAAAAGATTACCCACAAAAGTAACCTTTGTAATATAACAACTATAAACAAAAATAACAAAATGTAACAATTTAACATAACTTGAAAATTACTATCATGTTATGTTTGACCAGAATAAAACATGAAAATTGCAATCCTGTTAAGTTTCACCTTAATAGAAATTGAAAATAATTATATTATCGTTAAGTCTGACCGGAATAGAACATAAAAATTACTATCATGCTAAATTTGATAGGAAGATAATTTGAAAAATCACTATAACGTTAAGTATGACCTGATCGCAGATTGAAGAGTCCTATCGAGTTAAATTTGACCTCAATAGAAATTAACAATTAGTATCACGTTAAGTTTGATCTGAAGAGGTTTTGGAAATTGCTATAAACGTTAGTTTGTCCTAAACAGAACTTGAAAACCACTATAAAGCTAATTTTGACCTCAATATAATTTCCATGTTTATATACATTTACGTTTGACGTGAACCTAACTTGAAAATTCTTATCACTGTTAAACTACACAGAAATTAAAAATTACTATATTGTTAAACTTGACATGAAAAAAAAACTGTAAGACTGCTATCAAGTTACGTATGTCTTGAACAAAACTTCAACATTTCTATCATGTTAAAAATGACCCATATAGCAGATAAAAGGGTAGATGTCAAAAATTACTATCACGTTAAATTTGACCTAAATATAACTTAATCATACTAAATTTGATCTGAATATAACTCAATCATGTTAAAGTTGATCTGAATATAATTTAATCAGGCTAAATGTGATCTGAATACAAATTAATCATGCTAAATCTGAACTGAATATAACTTAATCATGCTAAATTTGTCCTGAATATAACTTAATCATGCTAAATTTGATCTGGATATAACTTAATCATGTTAAAGTTGATCTGAATATAATTTAATCAGGCTAAATGTGATCTGAATACAAATTAATCATGCTAAACCTGACCTAAATATAACTTAATCATACTAAATTTGACCTGAATACACCTTAATCATGCTAAATTTGACCTGAATATAACTTAATCATGCTAAATTTGATCTAAATATAACTTAATCATGTTAAAGTTGATCTGAATATAATTTAATCATGCTAAATGTGATCGGAATATAATTTAATCATGTTAAATTTGACCTGAATATAATGTAATCATGCTAAATTTGATCTGGATATAACTTAATCATGTTAAAGTTGATCTGAATATAATTTAATTATGCTAAATGTGATCTGAATATAATTTAATCATGTTAAATTTACCTGAATATCAATTAATCGCGTTAAGATTGAACTGAATATAACTTAATCATGTTAAATTTGAACTGAATATAACTTAATCATGTTAAATGTGACCTGAATATAACTTAGACATGTTAAATTTGACCTGAATATAACTTAATCAAGCTAAATGTGATCTGAATATAATTTAATAATGCTAAATGTGATCTGAATACAAATTAATCATGCTAAATCTGACCTAAATATAAATTAATCATACTAAATTTGACCTGAATATAACTTAATCATGCTAAATTTGATCTAAATATAACTTAATCATGTTAAAAATGATCTGAATATAATTTGATCATGCTAAATGTGATCGGAATATAATTTAATCATGTTAAATTTGACCTGAATATAATGTAATCATGCTACATTTGATCTAATTATAAGTAATCATGTTAAATTTGACCTGAATGAAACTTAATCGTTTTATAATTGATCTGGATATAACTTAATCATGTTAAAGTTGATCTGAAAATAATTTAATCATGCTAAATGTGAACTGAATATAACTT